CAAGATCTACGCGGTTCAGGAGGCCGGAGATGTGCGACCAAATGTTATTGCCGATTTGCCGGACATATTGGGAGTGGAGTTTTTACAGCTGGACAACGCGATCTGCGTGGCCAGTGCTGCTGGTGAAGTGATCCTGGTCGACGCCCAAACAGGGGCAACCAGCGAGGGAACGTTCTGCGACGTGGGCATAGAGACCATGGCCTGGTCACCTAATCAGGAAGTGGTGGCCTTTGTTACCCGCACCTACAACGTGGTGTTGATGACCAGCACTTTCGACGTTATAGCAGAGCAGCCATTGGACGCGGACCTGGCTCCAGATCAGCAGTTTGTCAATGTGGGATGGGGCAAGAAGGAGACGCAGTTCCACGGATCGGAGGGAAAGCAAGCTGCGAAGCAGACTTCATCAGATTTTACCGAAAGCCGCGACGTACAGGAACTTAATGAGGTGCGTTTAAAGTTTTAAGTCAGTATAAAGAAAAACAATAATTCGCTCGGTATATCCCCACAGGATGTAAGCATTTCCTGGCGAGGCGATGGAGCCTTTTTTGTGGTGTCTTATGTGGCAGCCCAATTGGGTCGCACCTTTAAGGTGTACGATAGCGAGGGAAAACTGCATCACACAGCCGAAAAGAGCGCAAATCTAAAAGATTCCGTTGTCTGGCGGCCGACGGGTAATTGGATTGCCGTACCCCAGCAGTTCCCCAACAAGTCCACCATAGCCCTCTTTGAAAAAAATGGCTTGCGACATCGCGAGTTGGTCCTCCCTTTCGATCTCCAGGACGAGCCGGTGGTGCAGCTGAGCTGGAGCGAGGACTCCGACATTCTGGCCATTAGGACAGCTACCAAAGAAGAGCAGAGGGTATACCTGTATACAATAGGCAACTACCACTGGTACTTGAAGCAGGTGCTGATTTTTGAACAAACGGACCCGCTGGCACTGCTCCATTGGGACACGCGGGTTGGAGCCGAACACGTACTTCACATTCTTAAGGAGAGCGGAAAGCATCTGGTCTACCGCTGGGAATTTGCCGTGGATCGATACAAAGCTGTCGTGGGAGTCATTGATGGTAAACGCCTGTTGCTCACAGATTTCGACGAGGCTGTTGTACCACCACCCATGAGTCAGCGCGTCCTTACATCACATAACTATATTAATGCCTTCATCTGTCGCCAGACCATCATGTGTGTATACACCTGTGATCGTAAATTATACTTGTGTGGGCACAACGAGAAGTTAAGTAACAAACAAGAAGAGCCCAGCATACATATACCAGATGCAGAGCTTGCTCGCTTGCAGCTGGCCAATCTCACCATTTTCTCGAGCGAATATCTGCTGGCCACTCACAGTTCAGCAGGATCCACACGCCTTCTACTGTTGTCCTATAAGGATGAGGTCAACGAGCAAGGCGAGCCGTGCTATCGAATCCAGAGTTCTCTGCGGATCAACGGAGTAGTGAATGCTGTTGCATCCCATTGCTTATATACTAAAATTTACGTGCAAACAGTGAATAATGGTCACACATACGAGGTGTCTCTTAAAGAGGACAATACACTTAAGGTGGAGCGAACTGTGCAGCTGGGTCAGCCGGCTGACCATATAGATTGGGTTATCATCGACGGATCAGTTTTGGATAACTACACAGGTATTTAATACTAAACACCAACAAAATAACTGAAATGTAGTTATTTTTATTTATTTTCCTCCCTAGGCTGTCTCGTCACCCTTCGCAATCAGCAAATGCTCCATATGGACGGGCATCGCATTGGCGAGGACGTCACTTCCTTCTGCGTAGTTGGAAATTATCTTGTATACACCCAGATAAATGCGATGCACTTTGTTCGACTTAAGGATCGCCGCCAAGTGGCAAGCAGGAACATTGAACGCGGTGCCAAGTTAGTAACGGCAGTGAACCACAAAGCACGTGTTGTGCTGCAGTTGCCGCGCGGAAACCTGGAGGCCATTTGCCCGCGTGTACTTGTCCTCGAGTTGGTCGGTGACCTTCTCGAAAGAAAGAAATACCAGGAGGCTATGCAGATGTCGCGCAAGCAACGTATCAACCTGAATATCATTTTCGATCACGATGTGAAGCAGTTCGTGGTCTCAGTGTACGACTTTCTGCGCGAGATCAAAGAATCGCAGTGGCTCTGTCTGTTCCTCAATGATTTGCAGAATGAGGACTTCACCAAAGGAATGTACTCCAGTAATTATGATGCGGCCAAACAGAAATATCCCTCGGATTATAGGGTTGAGCAGAAGGTGGAATACGTGTGTCGGCTGCTGCTAAGACATATGAATGAGGGGGTTAGGCGTTTTCGTATGCCTGTGATCACCGCCTATGTAAAGTTGGGCTGTTTGGAACCGGCTCTCCAGCTGATTTGGAAGGAGAAGCAAGAAGATGCGTCCCTTGCAGACCAATTGCTGCAATATCTTCTTTATTTGGTGGACGTCAACGAACTGTACAACGTGGCCCTAGGCACCTACGATTTTGGGCTTGTTTTGTTCGTGGCTCAAAAGTCACAGAAGGACCCTAAGGAGTTCCTTCCCTATCTCAATGAATTAAAGGCATTGCCTATAGACTATCGCAAGTTTCGGATCGATGATCATCTTAAAAAATATGATTCGGCACTTTCACATCTTGCTTCCTGTGGAGAAGAGCATTACGAGGAGGCTCTGGAGTTTATCCGTAAACATGGCCTGTACACTGATGCCCTGGCGATTTATCGGCAGCACAATGAGTTCCAAAAGACAATCTATGTGGCATATGCAGATCATCTTAGGGCCAGTGCCAAACTGGATAACGCCAGTATTATGTACGAACGTGGCGGTGAGTTGCAGCAGGCGCTACTTAGTGCAAAACACACTCTCGATTGGCAGCGTGTTCTGGTGCTGGCCAAAAAGTTGGGTGAGCCTCTGGATCAGGTGGCCCAGTCGTTGGTGGGACCGTTGCAACAGCATGGTCGCCACATGGAAGCCTATGAATTGGTAAAGGAGCACTGTCAGGATCGAAAGCGGCAGTTGGAAGTGTTGCTTGAGGGTCATCTGTACAGTAGAGCCATTTACATGGCGGGTCTGGAGGATGAAGATGTTTTAGGTCAGTAATTTCTATAATAAGATTATGTAAGTAAAAACTTTTAATTTCTTAGGAGAAAAAGTCGTGCCCGCTTTGTTAGCCTATGGAACTCAACTACAAAGCTCCCTGCAAGCCGATCTGAACCTCTTCCTGTGTTACAAGCAGCGGCTTTTGGACATCCGCCAGCGCCAGGCCAATCATGATGAGGGAAATATCGATGCAGATGTGGGTATGGAAGAGGTGGACCTGCTGTCGGACACCACCAGTCTCCACTCCTCGCGATACAGCGGCACTTCTCGAGGGACTGGGTAATCCAACGAATGCTTCACTGCACCGGCCAGAGTTTCACTTTTCCGTTGTGTTCCTCCTTTCCAGCAAGACATTCCGCTCAAGCAAAAACCGACGTAAGCACGAACGCAAGCTGCTCAGCCTGAAGCCGGGCAACCCCTTCGAAGACATCGCGCTCATCGATGCGCTGCACAACCACGTCACGAAGATAGCCCAACAGCAGCAGCCTGTGCGTGACACATGCAAAGCGCTACTACAGCTTGCCAATGCTGCGGATGCAGATCCACTGGCAGCGGCACTGCAGCGTGAATTCAAGACACTGTTGCACGCGGTGGATTCGGCGCTGGACGAGATCTGGACGCCTGAGCTACTGGGGAACGGATTGATGGCGCAGCACCTTAAGGGACCCAATATTGATTATCTCGCACTGCAGAAGGAGCAGCGCTATTCCTTGATAAGTGGGTGTTTTGTGCTAATCACATTTATATTGCCTTTAATTCCTAAACCTGGTTGGTTGCCTTGTCCATTTTAAGAGCCCAAAGTCTAGTTACTATAAGATTGCCATATAATATGTACTTTAATTTAATAAAACTTATTTTTTTTAGGTCCCCTCAAGCGCTTCAAGCCGCAACTGATTGTGATGGACGAGCAACTCTAGATCCTCCAGTGAATCATCGCCGGGATCATTGCGTGCTGCACTCATCCTCCCCCAAACCGTAATCGTCTCAGCCTTCCCACTGTTTACTTTCACTGCTTTCAAAATAAATGTAGCATTGAAATGCTAATTGAATGTATCGAGATTAAACAAAACGAAGCGCAGTGGGCAGTCTAGTGCCAGTCGGATGTCAGGCAGCTGGCAAAAGTGGGCGACACCGTCTCCCAAATTCATGCTTGATTGCAATTTATCGCTTTTATTAGGGGGCGTCGGCTCTTGACATTTACACTAAGATACGCCCTTTATATTCCTATACCAGAAAGCGAAACATATTTGCTGATAATATCCTGTTGCCCCTGTGTAGTCAAGCATTTTGTTTGCCAAACAAACCCGTAAAAGGCTGGAACCGGTTTCACCTGTACGGGATTTGTTGTGAGCTCGCATTGTTGCCAGGTAGACGTGATATGAACACTGGGTCGAATACGTTCTTGAATAGAGTTATATAGGTATGATTTACACTATAAGGTAGTATTATGATAAGTGATATATTCGTACAATAAATTTTCATTAAATTGGCTAGATTAGCTAGATTGTTTAGATGTTAGCATCCTGGTAAAAATCTGTTCCCTTTAACATGGCACTTGCATTTTCCTGTTACCGAGCTGTTATGCGAGTCGCATTGAGACATGCGCACCGTTCTTCCAGCGTCGCAGTCAGCGTCATATGCTCAGACGCGAACACACACACTCACACACAATCTCTTTTACACAGTGGGACTTTAGACAAATACGACGATTTAAATGGAAAAATATACTTGTATTATTAACTTTACTGTTCTTTACCTTTGAATTACTTTTATGTTCGTTTTTATACTATTGATGTGTTACAATTTGAGGGAAGTCTGGCCACAGAAGCCATCTAATTTCTCAAGTAGATTGCCTAAATCACCCACTGTGCCACTTCACTACTCTCTCTTTCTCTCCCTCTCTCTCTGCTTCCGCTGCTTGTTTCGCAGCCGCAGCAAGCTCCACCACAGTGGAAAACACAAGATTATTAGGCAAAAAATCGCCGAACGAGTCGGACGTGTGCGCTGCTGGATGCTGGCGCTCTTTTCGCGTTCCGTTTTTTCGAGTAAACAAACACACAAAAAATATTGTTAATACAATTTTGTCTGTTCTATTGTGCGGAAATCGAGTGAGCGAGAGGGGAGGTGCACAGAAACCGCAAGCCAAAGCAACAAGCGTGTGGGAAGAGGAAATCGAAAGGGGAAATTGTGAGTGTGTGAGTGTGTGCGTGAAATATGGAAATTGAAAATGCAATTAATCGTGAATTAATGGCAAGCCATAGAAATCGCTCAATGGCTTAAAGTGCAAGAGAAAATTAAGCTTTTTGTTATAGTTGTCAACGCGGAAGACAAAAACCGAAGTCTGTAGTGGAAATTTTAAATACGTGTATTTATTTTCGTTTTCGCAACAACAATAAGCCATCAAGCGAAGTGCTGAAATAGTCAATTTACAATTGGAGCTGCCGAGAAGTCTATATATAAAATATAAACATTTTGGTAAGTCTAGCTTGAGTCTCCATCTCTCTCAGCTTCGCTCTCTACACAGAAAACATCAGAGAGCACGTCGGTAATTATGATTGAGCATATCATTGGTCGCCATTTCTGTCAACTTCGAGTTGATATGATAGAAATCTCAAAACAATAGATGTACACTAATATATATATAAATATTCCCATTAAACATTAGTCACACACGAAATCATGAATATTTTTTCCTGTGCACTTGAAGAGCGGAGAGCTCAAGCACAGTGGTCAAACCCGCAAAACGACTTTCAACATCATTCGTCGCCTTGTTGTTTTTGCTATTTTCGGTGGTTGCTGTGGTTGTTGTTCTTGTTTCGTTGTAGTTTGTTTTTCAACTTCTGAGTTGCTGCCGTTTTTATTTAATTACGCTATTGTTATAATCATATTTGGTTTTTGTGCGCACTTACTTAATTTTCGCTCATGTGGAAACACGGCAATTATTTTACTAATAACGTGCCATAATACTTCAGGACTGCGAAACGTGGAACATTTCGTTTACCTATTTAGCACATTACTTAACTACTTTCTTGGTAATGCACCAATTTCTAGAATGCATGTTGAGTAAAAGTCAGGCCTTAATTATATTTCGAACCTTAAAAACAGCCATTAAGTAAATTGAACATTAAATGGCAATATTTTCAATTACCTAACTTTATCTGAATTCAAAAAAACTCATTTTGCACGTTCGTCCATGCACTTTTTTCCATAAATACAGTACTTTTTACTGGTCCATTTCAATGCCAATGGCATAACTGCAAAGATTCTCGGTTTTCAATCTATTTGCCACCTGAAAATCTGTGGCTAACTCCAGCGGTGCGTTAACGCGAGACCTCAAAGCTAAGCGATCCATTCAAGCCGCTTCAGAAGAATCCCAATCCCATCTCATTGAGAATCGAAAGCTGCCGGCGAAGGCCGCAGACAACAATTTAATTAGAGGTTACTTAGCCAAAGACGCCGCGACGGAGGCAACAATGGTTGAAACTACAGATAGTAGTTGGCAGTTTTTCAGCTTGTTGCAGTTGCAAGTTGCAGCCACAGAACAAAGTTGTTTTGAATGCATTATGCATGGAGAAGGGGCAGCATAAATCGCTGGGTAATGGGCCTGGGTTAATAAAGAAGCGTTTTGAATGCCAAATGAGTCGGAGCGACGAGGATGACGAAACATAAGTGATTTGGAAACTAAGGAGGAGCAGTGCAGCAGATGCACAGAGAGAATAGAATATTAGCACAAAAGAGGCAAAATATCTTGTATTATTAAAACTGAAACCCCATTGCTGGCTTGAAATTAAATGTATTAATACCATACTTCACGAGATAATGAAGCAATGAAGGCGCCAGCACAACATTTTCTTCTCTGTGTAACTTCCATGGAATGTGGTTGCCAAGAATCGGGGAAACCGGTCTCCTGCCGGTGCCCTATTGGATTGGCCAGGCTTGCGCCGATAGCGAAGGTCTCGAGGTCTTCGACGCAGACGGAGACGGTGAGACGCGAAAGAGAGTTAGTGGAGATCGCCGATGAGTCACGTTCGGAGCCAGATTCGAGACGTGCCTGCTTGACTTTGGCGGGCTGGCAATTGGGAATAGAAAACAGAGTGACTCTAAACCCAGTGCATAACTTTGCCGCCGGTGCGATAATGAAAATCTTAGAAAACGAAGCGAATTCCGATTTCTGATTGCTGGAGGAAATACTCTCGCCGTGCAGTTCTGGCACGTACCCATGGGATCTGACCCCTGCTCTTTCTATCCATATCACCTCTGGTTCTATTACTTATATGTTGTTCAAGATGCTGTGATCATGAATAGTACATTTCATTGATGGCAAATTACACACAGTGCAAATGCTGAATAGATGTACATATTGTGAGCGGTGAATTCCAATAGAATTCAGTGCAGCATAAATAAACTTATGGACTCCGTAAATTATTCAAGCATGTAAGCACATTATTTATAGAACTTTTTCGTTTTACGTACATACATACGTGTCACTAGTTCTGTATTATGAAAATTAATATTAGATTTTTAGACCTGTATTGAAATAATGTTTGAAAAACCACGACGATTAACCCATGTAACTACAAAACTGAGAGGTTGGCATTCATGTAAAACACCTTTCATCTGACCATCGGCTTCAGTTCTCGCTCCACTTTCCCACTTTGGTTTCCCGCTCTTGTTCCCGATGCATCCCACTTCTTGCCGAGTGGTAATTACACACCTTGATGACTCAAAATCTGTCATTAAGGCAAAAGTGCAGTTCAGTAGGTAACACACATTTGGATCCCAGCCCCCCATCCGCCCATGAACCACCTCCTCTTCCGTCTTCCGCCATTTCTTTAAGAAACATAAGGAGAGAATCCGACAAAACAACTTGCCCTGCCAACTCAGAGACCTGACCTATGAGCTTTGTCTTTAGCATTCGCATTTAGTACTGCCGTCTTCTCCGTTCGACTTTGCTTCTTTGTTGGTTTTGTTGGTTTGTTGGTTTCTGCCCCATGTCTTCCATTGTTTCGACGTTTATCTCGCTTTTGGGGCAACCGTTTTGCTTCGATTTGTGCGGTTTTATTTTTGGAGCTACCTTGGAAACGTGTTCTGGCAATCGGAGAATGGAAAATGATCGGTGTTTCCACAACAAACAAAATAAATTACATTACTTAAGTGCAATATACTGTTATATCCCCGATTCCCTACAGTGGGCGTCGAATTAAATTACTCAATTGAAAAGTCTTTGACTCTTGGCATTATTCTTCACTATTCACCCACTCTTCCGACTCGAGCCGGCTTAATTAAATTAAAACTTTAATTGTTTTGTTGACAGGTAGACTTCATGTCAATGAACCAAGACTTTACACTGGTTACATCTGTAGAACAGATCTGGATTTTTGCCAGGTGATCATTTTCCTGGACAACTGATATGGATATATGTATATTGTATATACGTGTACTTGTTCTGCTGTCTTTTTCCGTTGCCTTTGTAATATTAATTCAATTCTAGACACTGGCCGGGTGAACAATCGCCAAACACTTGGGCACTGATTGAACCTAATTGAATTAAGAGCAGTTGCCAGTTACATCTTCACTTGGGTCAGCCATGCAGGAAGTCAACCTTGTGTTACAGTACTTACTGAATAAAAATAGAATCATACGTTTTCATTCATTTGGGCAACTGTGGCATACTCAAATGCTGAACATTCTTATTAAATAGACACACCTACAGCGGAATAAATAAACGTTTTCATATCGTTTCTCTGGCCAGCTCCTGTCACCTCACCAGTTCATATATGCTGGCAATTTATAGAGTAGCTCAAGGCAGCCTTTGAACTAGTTTTGCTTGCCTTTCATGCGACTTGAAAGCCATTTAGTTGACTTCGGGTTTCTTTTGCCATTTCCTCCACATAACCACAGATGTTGCCTCAAATGGGAGCATATGTGTGTTATTTATGCGCTTATTTGAGTGTATGCCACCACCACCTTCTGCATTCTAAATACCGCCTTTGTTTTTACTTTTGTTTACCTTTCGAACCTGAAAATGTGCTCGCCAGTGCAATGCATTTGCCCTTTGTTTACGCTACTTACGTATCTGAAAGATACACAGCACTGGTGCCATATTTCATCATTCGGATGCCTCGAGCATCTTTCAGATGCATTTGCATGCAAAGAGGGTCCCCATCTTATAACAACTTTGCATACCAAATACGACAAATGTTTAACCTTTTTTGCTGCAATTTAGCGAAACGTTTCTGGGGTTTTTCTTCTGAGAATTACTTGTTTTTATAGCACTTGGCCTTTGGGTTTCTTGTCTAAACAGATTCTCGCTAATAAAAACCCGTTTCACAGATTCTATAGGGTTGGGTCCGGTTACGTACTTTGTTTTATGAAATGCTAATGAATTTATATGAATTCGATTATACGCGACTTCAACACCAATTAACACTTAACAAACGACGCAAGTGATCAATTTCTTGAAGTGTATTACGGACCTATGATGCCGAATTTAGGGAAACGTTAACGACCTTCGATTTGGGTCTGCCCCTTCAAACCCAGTCTGAATTCCTGGTTAACAGATCTGTGCTAATAAATAATCGCCACAAACCTTGAACCCTGGGTGTTTGAAATGAATATTGCACACTGTCTTCAATTGGCACTCAGCTTGGCAATGGCAGATTCGCGTGCCAACTCGAGGAAACCCCGAAAAAACTTTGACCCAAAAACAGAAAAAATTCCCCGTGTTTAATAACATTTTTGGTGACGATTGAGGTTGAATAAACAAAAACCAAACCAATTTAATATACAAAAAAGAAAACAATGTGTTATGATACTCATATGGTATTTTATAAAATTGCCTTGAAATAAGTTTAGATAAATAGTAATTCGCTCTTTGTTCCACGTATTTTCTTTCTGTGCCGTGACAAAGAGTTGGGGAAAGCGTCTGGCTAATTTGTGAAAAGTAATAACATTAAGCCAAAAGAAAAAGTGCCAAAAAAACTCGTAATTGTAGCGGGCAGCGTGGGAGAAATCTCACTCTCTGGCTCGGGTTCAGTAGCTTCCAAACGAAAGTCTCCGAATTGATGGTTATATAACCCATCTGGATCTACCAGGTAACGCCCACCGAATGATTCTCCGGCGACATCAGCCGACTCTATCTCTCTCTGCTATTAATACTCTTTAGCAAGCGAACGAAACTCGTTTAGCACTCGGGGGGGAAAACTTGTCGCTGGCTGCTGTGGAAAATTGGAAATGTATCTATGAGATACGCGATGGGGCGAAAAGTAAAAGTGCTTTGGCGGCTTCCACTGCGCCCACTTTTGCTTTCTTCCGCCGCTTCTTCAGCCGTTTAGCTTCCATTGAGCCGTAAAGTGGCAGAGCGGTGCAAATAGCTGCTTGCCTTGCGAAAAATCTGCCAAATGTGCTGCAACAGCAACTGCATTGTTTGGGCCACATCCAGTCCCTTCTGGGCCCTCTCCAAATGACAGCACCTA